CCTGGGAAGTATATTGCATCAGTTGTTGCATCAAACACTCGAAGTACTCTTGTGCAGATATTGGAAGTGCATGTTCAAGGTTGGTAACTTGTAATACTTGGTCAATAAGCATTTGTCGCATGGTGCCTGTCAGCCTGTGTTCTTGATAAGTAAGGTCTCTTACCAGTCTCAATATGTGGTAAAGTTACTGTGATCAAGCTAAATGGACTGCTTTCGTACCTAATCATGAAGCACTTGATGACTGGCCCTAAGGGAAACAGCGAGTTTTGTTTCCCCCCAGACCCTCAATGTTCCCTGAGGTGAAGCCAAGGGGAACATTGAGGTCTAGGGGAAACAAAAGTCATTGTTTCCCGTGGGACCAGTCATTAAGTGTTTTGTTATACCACCCAACTCAAAAATAGAAAAAAAATGCAAAGATGTCATTTGCTTGATGCTGGCTGGCTCACAAATTTGCCACGGTTTCAAGGACCACGACCTGATCACGTGCGAGTCGAAAGTTCAAGTTGTTGTTTCCATAGGGAGTTGGTGGGTTTTGTTCACCCTAAGGAGTTTTGACCCACTTTACGTGGCACGTTCTCCTCCAATTGGAAAACGCATTTGAGTTGGGAGGTATAACAAACCTTTTTGGTACACTTTGGCAGCATATCAGGTGAGTTTGGTCAAGACATGGTCCAAAATACCCATGGCAAGACCAAATGAGCCTCATATGCCTAAAAATACGCAGAATTGTAGGTTTCCTGTTGTAATCCTTTAAAGTCTCTACTAATAAAAACAATTAAACTACTTGCCTTTGTTTTCTAGTAGTCAACTTGGCTATGCCTTGTTGACTATTTGCTCATAGAAAACTTGGGTTGTAATCTAATTGTTAAAGTTAATATGATGGATTTTTTTTGCTCCTGAAGAAAAACTTGCAGCCAATAGAATGATGATGAAGTTCAGTCCCAAAGATCCTGGTGTAAACGAAGACGTCCTATTGGCTGTACATCTTAATTATTCAGATGTAAGTATAGTTTATTACATTGAGATTAAATGTTAATTGCAAAATTTGTGATTGGCTACAGTCATAATGATAATTGTAATCATAATCACGATCACGATTGCAATCTCAATTGCAATCACAATCACGATCACAATCATAATTATAATAGTGAAGCTCCGCCAGCCCGAAGCACCACCAAGCGAAGCCCCATACTCATATAGGAAAGAAAAGGAAACCCTTGAATTGATTTTCTCATGGTTATCATGGTTAGTGGTATTGCTCGTGGGCACATACGCACGACGGCGACAGCGACAGTTGTGCAACATGGCGGCCACAATCCAAATAATAGGTTGACAGAGACATGCAACCTTGGTTTACTCTGTACTTCTTTGATAGTGGACATCCATGTTGATCAATTGACACCTGTCAAAACAAGGTATCTGCTGACAAGTATCACATGACTTTATCGCAGGCTCAAGTTTTCAGCTCATCGAGGTCACTTGTTTTTTTTGAAGTTGACCACTGACCAAGTGCTGGTTTTTAATTGGATTGCGGGCTCATGTCAGGTTAATTTGTTGAAAACAGGGCAAGATTGTTCGGAAGCCAGTTAACGCTGACCCAGGATTAAAAGTTAACCGAATTATAACTTTTTCTTCTATACACATGTTTTTTGCTGCTTTGTTTTGTGTATATGGTGATTATTAAAACTCAAAACAGAAGGCCAAACAATATACAGAAAACCTCACCACAAAACAAAACTCAAATCAAAAGTCTACCTTTTCCTGGGTTAGCTTAATCGGGCTCTGAGCAACCCGGCCCAGGAGCTACGCTTCAGAAACTTCATGACCTCATCTGAACAAACCTTTTTTCATAATCTGTTATTATAAACTGGTTTTATACATTGTTAACAAATATAAAGATTGAAGTTTCTTTGGCTAAGCGCCACACCAGTGGTTTGTAACAGACTGTCGAGTACCAATATGCCAACACTGATCCAGCTTCAGGCTATGAAATCTAGGTATCTTTGATATCAGCTGTAAAACAGACATGTCTATAGAAATGCACCATTGTAGTTACAAATAATGTTAGTGACTGGACTTGTTTGTTGACAATTTGTTATCAAATGCCCATTTTCAGGTAGAAGTTGGGTATGTTCGGTATAAATGGACATATGATGGTAAAGAAACTCAAGGATTGCATCCAGTTAATATTCTTAGCTTTAGTGAAGCAAAGAGGTAAGGAACATGAAAGCTAATACTCGATTTTTAACTTTTGAAGCATTGTATAATAAAGTATTTGTAATAATATATTAATTATAATTGTGCAGTTCCAGAAAATATCCATAATTCCTCCACAGAAGGGATTGGAATTTCTTGGTGCAGGGGTTGGGGTTTCTGTTACTGTAAGGCCAAAAACCTTAAATATATGAAGTGTTGTTGGAATTTCCAGAGGGGTGTGGGGTCTTAGAAAAAATCTCCTCTGTTGGGGAGGTGTGGATATTTTGTAGAACTACACTTTTTGTAACCTTCAGTTTGTTTTGTTATGAAATACACAATTAAGATATTTTTACTCACAACTCCCTACCGCTGTTGCCCTCCTTTGAAAAAATCTTGGATATTAAAAGCAAACTGATGAGTACTTCAACCTTTATCGATAATTTATTCATGGTTGAACGTAATTACAACCCAAAGTGCAACACATTAACTGCTTGAATTAATGCTTCATATCTTTGCCTTTTAGCTACGTCGTTACAGTCACTGCAACAAATTATTTGAACTCTATAACGAAATCTGTAACAGTCAAAGTCTTGAAAGGTAGGGTTAAACTGTCCAAGATGTTTTACTTTTGCTTTGGAATAGCACCTCACTTCAGCTATGATTCAAGAGATTGGATGCCTATATAGATAGATAATCTTTATTTATCCATGGTAAAAATTCGTCAGCTTTGAAAATACTTAATACCCAATAACAAATTGAGATGGAAACTACAGTTACTCGAGTTTTATGCTTAAAGCGATCATCAGACTGATGATCTGATGATCGTTTTAAGCGTGAAACTCGAGTAACTGTAGTTTCCATCTCAATTTGTTTCTCGCTCTACATGTATTTGTATCGAGCACTCCTACAATTGTGTGAAACCACTTCTATTTTTCTTTGTTTAATACGCGATAACAAATATAATGAAGAATGTTTAGATAAAAAGCTGAATTCCACAAATGCTGTGCCTTACTGTTCTTGATTGAGTAGGTTTTGAATTGCCCAAGGGACTCTGCTGCCCTTAAGCCACAAGGAAGACTGTTCCAAAGAATGGCGCCACTATAGTTGAACCTATTTTTGTAATAGTTTGTGTGCAGTATTGGAACATTGAGTTTATTCTCAGAGTCCCTTAGGTTATTTGCAGTTTCCTGCCTTTCAAATGTAGAACTTAAAGATAGTTTGGACCTGTGCGATTGTAGTTCTTTGTAGCTTTACTGCAGGCTAGCTGGATTTTTTCCACCCTAGAAGTTTGAATTAGTTGACATGCTTAATTTTTGTCAACAGACCTCACTCCTGTGAATGTTACAGCTAGTGTTCTTGGGCCCACAAGAGTTTTAGTTAAATGGAAACAATTTGCCACAGAAGCTATTAAGCTCATCAAAGAATACCGGGTTTATAAAAGGTAAGTCAGTGGCTCACAATAGAGAGCCACAAAGAAAGAGCCAAACATTTCTCACCCATCTTATTCTCTAGTGTGACTCAAATCTGGTGTTAGAGTTTTCATTTGATGTTCTGTTGAGAGATGTTCTACCAGAATGTGGTAAAAATGTCATGGTTACTTGTATATACCTGTGACAAGTGTAGCTGGGGAGCAGGAATGGCGCAGTGGTGAGAGCGCTTGTCTCCCACCAATGTAGCCCAGGTTCAATTCTGGCATAGTGCCATATATGGGTTGGTTTTCGACCTTGCTCCAAGGATTTTTCACCAGGTTCTCTGGTTTTCCTCCCTCTACAAAAACCAACACTTCAACTGGGATAGAGGATCCACATGAAAACTTTCCAAGACTGATCTGGCTTCCTCTCTAAATATTGTGATTTATTGATTGATTGATTTAATATTTTATTTATATTGTCCCCCTCTATGAGCAGAGTCATGTGGCTGATCCTGTTTGATGTTGAAACTTTGTTGAAAAGCAGTTAATATGTTCGAAAGTATATCTAACAGTAATATCAAAGTGTATCTATCTATTGTATGCTTTAAATTAGTACTTCAGGTAATGTTGAATTCAAGATGGTGTCCTGCACAAGTCTGACAAACTCATCATGTATACTGGACAACCTATCTCCTGCTACAACATACTACCTCAAGGTGTCGACATATTCTCAAGAATACAAGGAGTCCACATTTTCAAACCTTGCATTTGTCACAACTAATACCAGCGGTAAGTTTTAACATTTTCTGTCTAGTCAGGACACAAGTTTATTATTTGGTCAGAATTCAGTCACTAGAAATTAAAGGATTTTTCAGTCTTCATGAGATGCAATACTAGGTAACAACGCAATATGGATCTAAAGCTACTACAAGATAATTCTTTTGATGTAAGGTACATTGTGAAGTACCCTAATGGTTCCAAGTTTAGTGTGCAAACATTATTTTTACTTACTTAATCCTCTCCGTCCCCTATGGGACATAATTGCAACAACAATCCCTCTCCATTTATTCCTATTTGTGCAGCATGTTGTTCCTTACCCCATGTGAGTTTCACCTCACTGAGCTCAGCCATGACAATTCAGTGCTGCAAACATTGTTACAAAGCGCTGATACAGATGATACTTAACTTTCGGAAGAAGTTAAGTAGAGAAGTCTGTCTTGCTTGATATGATTTGTTTGGGAGTCTTTTGTATTGTGGCACACTCAGCATGCCGGTAATGTGCATCTCAAATTTTTCCACAGCAGCATTTTAATTATTCAACACTTTATCGTTTTCCTTTCCAGCTCCTGGGGCACCTGAAAGCCTTCGTGCATATCCTCTTAATTCTTCAGCCATTAAAGTGGACTGGAAGGCTCCAACAAACCCCAATGGACCCATCAAAAGTTACACAGTAAGAGATAAATACATTATGCACCCTACTAGCTTTGTGCTTAGTAATTTTTTGCGTACAGCACTCTAAGAGTAATCAGCTCTCTGTAACTCAGGTCTGACCCTGTCTGTGGTACAGACTTAAGTGACAATTTGGTTAACACACTTAAAAATTCTGAAATACTTTTTTTGTTTTGATAGATCCGCTATTGGTCCCACAATGACCCCACTGTGAAGAGTGTTGACAATGGTCCTTCACTATTCAAAATCTTTACAAAATTACAGCAAGATACTGTTTATTTCTTTGAGGTAAGCTTCAATCTTTAAAGCACATCATGTATCTTAATCCAAGCTTTTGTGTGTGTATCCTAACCATTATTAAATCATTTGAACCCAGGAGTATCAGTAAGAACAGTGTCTGGGGTTCATTACTTGCAAAAATTTTTGGACAATTTTAATTTATGACCAAAAAAATGTCCAAAAATAAAACCATCCAAAATTTTTAAGTGTCTGAATTTTAAGCATTTGAAATATTATTTTACAGTATAGTTTATAATTTTTAAGCAGCTCTAAAGCTCTTAGTTTCCTTTACAAGGCAAACTCTAGTTGGGACACTGCGTGAGATAATTGTTTTTGTTATTTTCTCCTTGGTTTTACTCCAAAATCTTGAGGGTGCAGTAAAACTATCTTTTTCACAGACGTTTTTGGTCTTAGTCATATGTCGAAGGCATAAATTTACTGTAGCTATGTTTCATCACAGTGTCCAAAATTTTTGTTTGAAATTTGTCCAGAATGAGACAGAAAGTGTCCGAAAATTAAACATTCAAAATAAAACATCCAAATGTAGTGTTGGTGTCAGTTATATCAGTTTACTCTGGCTCCAATGGGATTCAAGGAATTCAGCCTTTGCAGTTACATTGCAAACACCTTTCTACTGAGCAATGAAGCCATTTGGAGCTGGTCAGCAATGAGTTTTCTCTATACAGGCCAATGATTTGATGAATATGAGATATGAATATGGTTCTTGTAAGGATGGATAAGAGATATTTGAAAACATATTTCAGAAAATTTGTCATCTGGTGTTTCTTGAGAGGGAACCCTAAGTAACAAGCCCCATAGTTTTTATTAGGCTCCCTCACCATTTTGTTTTCTATCCCTTTAATATATAAATTGTAGTTTTGTATCTTCATTGTAATCTTGTATATTAATTTTTGTCACTTATGTAATTCTATTTTTGTTTGTGTGGCAAGTCAAAAAAAAGATAAATAAAAAAAATAAATGAATAAATATTCAATTGCCTTTTCTTGTCGCAGGTCTATATAAATAGTGACTCTGGTCGTAGCATAGCAGCAGGGCCTGCCCAAGCACTGACAAAGTTATCAAGTAAGGGGTTCTTTTTGGCTGTTTCAATGTCAAATTGTCCTTACCTGACACTTAAGTCTTAGCAGGGTGCATGGAAATCAATTTTTGAGTGTGCCCTCTAGGCAAGTTTATTCTCACTATCCACCTAAGTTTTAGCAGGGTGCATGGAAATCAATTTTTGAGTGTGCCCTCTNCCCCCTATTCTCCCGGGCTCCCGCCCCGCTGTGTCCCCCCCCCCCCCCCCCACCCCTGCCCCGCTTCCCCAGAAAGAAAATTTTACTAAGCATGATTAGTTAAGTTAAAACTAAATTTAGTAAATTTCCTCAAAACTTTTCCCAAAAACTTAAAAAAACGTCAAGACTTGCAGTTTTTTACTCTTGTTCTGTTCCATTCCAGTTGTTCCAGTCGCATTAGTGTTTAGTGGATGTTTTTGAAATAAATTATGTTTATTATTGTGACACACAATAAATATATTATAAATATAATAGTTCTAGATGTGACGGTATGTTAGCTTTATTTCGTTTCTCAGATACGTTTTATCTTGTCATTACAAAACATTTTTTCATTCCACTTGTATGCCCCCCCTGGATACAAGCCCCCCCCTGCCCCATTTATAAGCCCTTCCAAAACCCCTTATGAAGTTATATAAGCTCGGTGCTTTAACGTAGGATTTTACCATAATATAATAAACATGCTCCTAAAATAATAAAGCTGGAACAAACTATACCCATGGTACTAAGACTTAATTTGCATCTTGAGCTCAGTTAAAGGAACAGCCTGTGCTATATGTTCTGTCTACTTTCAACAATGTAATCCAGGGCCACGCAATGGGCAAATTGACCAGCTGTGAGGATTATTTTGCCTGCCTGGTTTGACCATCTAGAGGAAAGTTTTTCTTAGAAAGAAGTTAATTCAAAATGTTGTGCCTGCAGTGAAGACCAGTTGCCCTTCTGCTAAAAATGTTAATGAAGCCCCTGCATAACCATTTATTTCAGAGCCAACCCTTCCACCACGGGACCTTAAGAAAGTGTCAGACAACGGTACTTGTGCTATACTAAACTGGAAACCACCATATCTTTCAAAGTCAGACAACAGGTCATTTCCAGCCAAGGTAGGTAAATGGAAAATCTGCCAGTGACTACATGGCTCCAAAGCTGTAGGAAATTGGAAGTTGCGTTTTTGTTGTGTTTGAAATCATTTTAGTGCCCTTTATACCAACCTGTAGTATCCCATTCAGGGAGGTTAGAAATACCCTGAGATGCTTTGATGTGCTTCTAGGCTTGAAGACAATCTTTACCTTGCATTTGTCTGTTCAGCAAGTGGTATTGTTTCTGTACGATTGAATCAAAGGGCGGTACAGTGCAGAGGTTTCAATAAGGGCTAGTAGGTAGGTCAAGGCTGCCTATGAGCCAAGTAGTCTCATCTGAGGCCGGAGCTTATCCTGGTTTCTGTAGCATGAAGTGACTAGGAGTATTTCAACTCCCCCCTAGATGGGACGTTAGTCCATTGTCCACTGGGTAAATTGACTGGCTGTGAGGATGATTTTGCCCACCTGCTTTGACGATCTAGAGGAAAGCTTTTCTCGTAACTTAGAAGTTCAGTTCAAAAAAGTTTGCCTTTCTGCGAAAACAATTGCCTTCCTGCTGGAAATATCTTTAAAATCCCTGGCGGTGGTGTGGTAATTATTTCAATGTTAACTATTTAGAGTTGCAGGTCTGGGCCAAACTGGGCAAGGTTTTTTTGTTGTAGTTTTGACCAACACACTTTATGCTCACATATCTTTCTTCGTGAAAAAGTTTTTATTTGTATCAGTAGCTTTGCAATGCATGGAGCAGCAGCAATACTCCTTATTGAGTAAAACTACATCAGCTTTTAAGGAGACTTGGCTGGAACTCTGCCTTTCAATTATTTCAGGGTTACAAAATTCAGCGGCCAGATGGCAGCACAGTTGATGCTCCTACAAACTTTGCCATTATCTGCAAGCTACCACCTGGAGACAAATACGAGTTAAAAGTATGGGCTTATTCACAAGCTGGAGAGGGGCCATGGGCATCAATCACCATAAATACACAAATAATAAGTGAGTCTGTTTTCTATTTTTTGTTACTTTTTAAAGACATTTTGGATATTTTTTGATAAGAGAGGATTGGTGACTTGGCCCTTCAATATACAAGGTGAAAGGTGTTTTCAGAATTTTCAACTGTGATGCTTAAAACTTTCTGTCACTTTTCATTCATCTCTTGCTGAGATTTTGACTTTGTAACTGTCTCTCTGCATCATTTGACATTGTCATAGCAACTACATTTTGACATGAGGGTGAAGCCAAATTTTGTCTTTTTATTTCAACAGGATTCTTCATTTTTGCCCTCTTTTCTAGAGCATTATCACAGAATGTACTGCCTTGTTACATTCTATTCATCATCATTTTCAGTTAATGTCCTGTCAGTTTACATTATTTTCTGATTGTCTGAGAAAACAATGTAATATATGATGGTGGACTGCATGATGTCAAATATGTGATGTCAGAATGTGTCATGACCAATAAAAAACTGGTCATCTCTTAGAGCAAGCCAAAGGCTACGTATTAAATGCAAAACAATTCAGATATGTTTGACTACAACACAAACCCTGTGGAGTGGTTCCATCCACACACCCCTCCCCCTCCACTCTGTACCACTATGAAATCTGAGTTTTATGGTCATTTTGTTGATGATAGAGCCTGGTGCACCACAGAATGTGAGGGCCAGTAAGATACTTGCTCATGAAATAACATTAGAGTGGAAGCCTCCTGCACAGAGCAAGGGAAGTCTGACATATGAAGTTTACCAGGTCAGTATAAGGAGTATTCACAACATTACTATATGGCAAGGTAGTCTTGAGGTAAATTGGTTCTTTCTTGGTCAGGATTATACCCCACAGGCCATTTCCAATGGAAACGGTCATAGGCCATGTATTTTTTACTTTCAAGAGCTGGAAAAGCCAATGTCATATCATGTCATGTCATGTCTAGCCATGTCATGTGACATCATATCATATCTTGTTACATGTAATACAACAATATTTAACCTGTAGGAACTTTCAGAAAGCAGCCAACTACCTAAAGAACGGTTAAATTCCACTGTTTTCTTGATGTTTTTCAAACCGTCACAAGTTTTTCTATGACCACCATTGAATGTCTTTTTTAATAGGAACCTTTTAAAAGTTGCTTTAGGGTTGCTTACCTTTATAGTCGGTTTTTATAATTTTTTTGCTATGAGTGTTCAATGATTTTGATATGTTGTTTCATTTTCAGTTAAGCCCTCTCAGAGAGACGCCATTTAAAGTTCCTCTCTCCCAGACAAATTTCACAGTAACGCAACTGGATCCCTACAAGACTTACAAGTTTGCAGTTAGCGCTAAAAATAGTCTGGGCTCTAGTGTGAAGAGTGCAGTAGTGACAGCAACAACACAGCAAACTAGTAAGTTAGCCATCGGTTGTGCAGTACAGTAAAAACCCACTTGTAAGAACCTGGACCGGGTTTTTCAGGAGGAGTTAAAAGTTAAATGCAGTTAAATGCAATTTAACAGAGTTAACAACAAAGAGCGCTTGCGTTCCCCTGGTAGTCAGTGGTGTCGACACACATGAGCATGTGTCGGAATTCCATGTGCTTGTGGATCGTAGTGTGATGTACGTACAGGAGGCGTTTTTGGCGTTTTTTGTAGTGTGGCAGCTCATTGCCCAGGCAGTTCCCCTCCCACCCCTTTCCCTCCCTCTTTCCACCGTTTCAACAGTGTGACGGGTGCCTTTTCCTCTTACTGCGTGGGGGCTCATGGCTGGGTTGCCAGGATTTGCCAGCCGTGGGAGCAGTCTTCATGTAGGAGCTGGCTGCCAATGGTTGAAGCTCCTGGATGTCTCAGGTACCCAACCTCCATTTTAGTGGTGCAGTTGTTAACCGAAGTATTAATTTGTCTTGTATAGAAATGTTTTTCACTGCTTACCGGTATGTTTTTTGTAGTTCTAGATTATTCAAACTCAAAACTGAAGGACAAACAATTTAAACAGAAAACCTTGCTGAAAAGTTGCAAAACTGAAATCAAAATTCTCGCTAATCCTGGGTTAGCTTGATCGGGCTTTGAAAGACCCTGCCCTGGTGGTTTAGGAATCGAAATTACTGGCAGAAATCTACCATATTAAAACCCAAAAATATAAGATCTTGTTTAGGCAAGCAAGATCAAGCAGGTTCTTATATGTTTGTGGGTTACAGCTACATTATGAAGTCATGTTATTGAGGCAACACTACATTAACATTCTGTAATCAGTTGTGTTTGGTTTATCATAACACAGCTGTGAATAAATGACGTATACTTATGGACCAAACCCAATTGTAGTTATTTTTCTGGTTATCAACAGCTGTATCTCCTTCATATAAATTAAGAACCTATTAAAAATCAACTTAACCTAAATTGCCAAAATGTAACCCAAAATATACCGTAAGAACCTACTTTGGCAGACTTCAAAGAATGTAGGTTTTTACTGCAGGTTTTTGCTGTAGCTCAGCACAAAGTATTAAATTCGGCGTATATTAGAGTGTCTGAATTTCTGTTTGGATTACATCTTTGTGATGATCTACAAAGTGGTCATTTGACCTAATGGTGTTTTTTTTCACTGATTTAATTTAAGTCCCTGGTATTGTGGAGTTTGTCACAACAGAACCCGTTCAACCTTACTCGGCAAGCATAAAAGTCACGTGGTCAACACCATCTGAACCAAATGGAGTCATCAAACAATACAAGGTATTAATTACAGCGAACTTAGTTGAACCTACAGTTGAACCTCCAGTTGCGACCACCCCTCTTCAGCGACCAGTTTTCCGAAATACCAAAAGTTTCCAAGTCAAATCACTACATTTGGAACCTCTTGTAAGCGACCACCTCACGTAAGCTACCATGACCATTTTAGAGCTAAAAGTTTGAAATTTTCTTTTGTTTTTAACCTTACACAAGTGAACACTTGACAGATAATAGAGCGAAAATTGGATAATAAGGTGTTGTAACAATACCACATTCCTGGACAGTACAAGAGACAGAATTTTCTCAATGGGAAGTACCAGATTTTTTTCTCGAAATTAACTTTTTACATGAATAAAACATTTAAAACATGGGGAAAGTCTCTGCAGTTATCAGATGCTAATGAAGCAAAACATTGACCCAACATGGTATAAGCTCTTGTAAGCGACCACCTCCTGTAAGTCACCACCTAGTCTTAGCTGTGGCTTTTGTGTACAACTGATCTAGCCTTGAACAGTCTTGAGCTTTTGAGCAATAATGTTTTAATTTCATTTCACTTTATTTCAGATCAAGTGGGGGAAAACTGTAATTGAAGACCCATCAAACACAGATAAATTTGAGGTTATGACAGTTGATGGCTCGGAGTCAGCATCTACATTTAAGCATCTATTCAGCAACACATATTACTCCTTTGCTGTGACTGCTGTAAATAATGCTGGTGAGGGATTACAGCACATAAGTCCAAAGAAGGAACGAACAGAAACAGGCAAGTCTAAAAACAGATGTTTTCTGCTACTTAACAACCACTGTCTGCTCTCCCCCGCCCCCTCCTCCCCCTCCCCCCACCCTTATCCATCCTACTCCTCCTTCCTGGTGTTCTTCCCCTTCTTATTCTCCTCACACCCCTGCTCTTGATGCCTATCTGTTCATCTTTGTGTTATATTTGAATCTGAAGCAAAATATAGTTTATGTATGTATGTATGTTTTTCCCCTTGTCCTCCTACCCACCCCCTCCCTCCTCCTTTTCTCCCCCACCCCCACCCTCTTCTCCTTTCCCCACCCTCTCCTGCTTCCCCTTTGCCACCCCCATCTTCCCCACCCCTTACTCCTCTCCCCCTCATTTCAGTAGAATACTCCAATGAAAAATTCAACTCAAGTTAATAGGTTATGCACTTATAGAAAACTTGGGCTGGTAGTCTAATTGGTTAATATTTGATAGTGTCAATAATATGAGAATTATGTGGGTTTGTCTGTTTGATAGATGAATCTTAAGTAATTGTGATTACTGATCCCCAGCTCTAAAGGGCACAGAAACATTGAACATGACTTTTACTGGTCCCATTATGGATGATGAAAACAAGAAGGACTTCATCCGTCAGTTCATTAAAGTTGCAAGCATGAAAGCTAAGTTATTAGAGTAAGTATGTTTAGTCAAATTATTTGTTACTTTGAGTTTCTTAGCTAAGGTGCCTAGACTTGGTATATATTATACATTGACAAGTTGAAAGATTGAAAAATGAAATTTAACCATTTTTGTTTGTTAATGTTTTGTTTTTTTCAAGGTTTTTTTTTTCAATGAATTAAAAAAAGTTTAAAAACTCAATACTGGATCCTTCACGTGAGAACACTTTAAGATGTGGTTAAGTACACTTGCTTCTTTATTGCTATATGAATTAAGATATTTTGCTGAAATGTTCTTTAAGCTCATGGAAAAAACCTTGAAAGGAAAGACAACAAAACATCGACAAAAAAATGGATAAATTTCATTTTTTAACTTGTCAATGTAGAATATATACCAGTTCGTGAACTGTAAGGAGAGCAGAGTCAAAGTAAATAATTGCTCATGAAGTGACAATACTACAAAGACAATAAGTCTGGTCTGATACATGCCAAGTCTTTAAAAGTTATGAAGGATACCTGACTATGATATAATTTATTTTTGAGGAAATCTCTAACAATATTTCATTATTAAAACTTGGTCAGTTCTGTAGATGTAATGAAACTTGCTTTAGTTATAGATTAGAGCACACTGTGCCTTTGTGTTTGAAATGTTTCTTTTGGATTTAGGGATCGTATAGCTGCTGTTGAGGTGAAGGGAACTGAAGACCCAACTAGAGGAACAGTTGTGTTTGATCTCATTCCACCACTTAATAGCTCAGGTAATAGATGTACAGGTTTTGAAATTTCAATTGTTCAACCAATTTTATTTGCTACCATTTTGAATTCTTGACTGTGGCGGTGGCCAACCAGAAAGCTTTTGCTACTTTGGCCACCATTCACATATAAATTTTATTTCCTCGTGACTTTGTCTTTCTGAACTTTTTTTTACTATTTTCATAACTTTACCTATAAAATGTATCTAAATTCCCTATATAGTGTAAGTAAAGATTGAACTGAATTGAATGGAAAGCTCTTATTATATGGCTTGTGTCTGTAGCTGCGTGCGTTATGCCCATGGGCCTGCAAGAATTACAGTCCTGCGTTATAGCGGACACGCTTGGGGACATTGTTTAGTGTCCATAATAGTGAGAGTCCGTAATAGCGGGAGTCATTTCCAGTTAAACTTCTATAGCTTTTGCTGGGAATCTGGATTTTGTCTGTAATAGCGCGCGTCTGTAATCGTGGGGTGTCCGCAAGGTGAGAGTTGACTGTACACTGTAATAAACATCTTATTAACCTAGGAAATTCGGTTTTTACAGGAAAATCTCAAGCCTTGGCCATGCCGTATTGACCGAGCAATAGTGAGGTCAATACAGCATGGTCTTGGTTTAAGAATTTCCCATAAAAACCTTACTCTTGGTTAATAAATAGATAATAATCTGGATCCGTTTTTGTTTAGAATATTTTTAATCAAGACAGTTAGTTTGTCTTTGGGATCATTTAATTAATTACCTTGAATTGAGGAGTCAAATATTTTATCTCCCATGAAGATTGGTTAACAAATGACAGACCTACAAAGTTGACTAAGGTTTTGTTCTATTGAGTTTCAGTCAATGGGTTTCAAACACGCATGATTCAGCACTCTTTTGATGGGGACTAACATGTAGCCCTTGGGGATCCAAGGATTTATGACAAAACTGTCTGACAGATCAGTGAAGCAAAGATATTTTATCAACTCTTATAATAATGTTTTTTGTAGGTGTTTCCATGGAAACAGCCAAAGCTGCTATCAATAATGGCTTTAAAGCAAGTGATTGGATTCTTGACAGTGGCTCCTTAAGGTTTGTATCTACACTGTACAGTTTACAGTTTATTTGACTGGTTGACTGTGCATTAAGATTGGTGATTGTGAAGTTACAATTTTTCCAGATATTTTTCTTAACCTAAAAACTGCATCACAGCATGAGATACTTCACAGCTTCTTTAATACATGCATAATTTATACTTTGCCTTGATTTCAAACTGAGGGAACCGGGGTGAAACAATAATTTAGCTCATGAATGTGTCAAATGAAACATCTTTGGCTAGCCATTTAATGCATACCAGTCGACTCTCTGCAGAGTTCTGAAACTAACTCTTACAACACAAATTTATGATTTATGACTTGTTTTATGTAAATAGCTATTGTTGATGTCTCTTTATCTGTGTATTTAAGCCTACGAAATCTTTTCATTCTTTGTGAGTGTCTGTATCCTAACTTTACAATAACTAAATAAACACCTACAGGATGTTGCACAATTTTGCAGTGGCTTACAAGAGCATGTTGGGGTTGGGTCAGCAGCCTCACCTTATTACCCCTGAAGTATAGTTTCACACAAAACCTGAGACCTTTTCAAGGGTGGGTGACTGGGTTTGTAAGCCAAAAAAAATCAAATTGAAAGACGCCCTCCAGAGGTGTTTGTAAGACCATTTTTCTTTTTCTTTCAGTTCTTTGTCCAGTTGAAAGTTATCTCTACCATGTTGCCCCTCTGTTTGTTTGTTGTATCATAATCAACAAAGTAAAGTAATGCTTTTGTTTTTGCAGAACTGTTTCTAGAGAAACCGTTCCAGCTACACCAGAAGAGAGGCCATCAGTTGGTGCTCAGAAAGGTGGCTCACCTAATGATGGCAGTCAAAAGAAAAGTCTGGCCATAATAATACCCCTTGCATTAATAGGTACAACCTTTTTTTGCAGTGTAGTGAAATTGTTGATGTATAAAAATGTTTGGAGAGATGACACACACAGTAGAACTCCAGAATCCTACAAAGCTCTCCCAACTCACAGGCTTAAATTGCTGTAATCAGTTAATGACTAATTTAAATATTAAAAATTCGACACTATCCTGCATTGGAGAACACCTTAAGGACACAGGCCACGATTTTGAAGAGAGTAAGGCTGCTGTCATAGCTAGAGAAGAAAACAACTTCAGAAGGAGAATTTGTGAGGCCTTTGAAATTGTGTGTCAGTCCTGGATGCTCAATCAAGACCGTGGATTTGAACTTCTGGCCCTATACTGGGATGTTTTGGCGCATGACTTGGTCCACCCAACTTCACGTGACAAATAGATTCCGGCCATGTTCAGTTGAGAAAGATGTTTGCACAGCATCGAAAGCTTGCGATTGCTAAAACATTGACTCTGCTTCGGTTTCTCATTTCTTATTATTCCCTCAACTCAGTCCTTCATCTTCCACCAGACAGTACTACCAGCATTCTTCCTACCCTCATGTCCCCCCCTCTACGAACTCTTCCTATTGACTTATGATGAAAATAGTCTATCATCTGTTTATTTTGTAATTTATTTTGTGCTGTAGTTTTTGTAATGTTGTACTTTGTTGTATGTTGTTATACAAATAAAGATAATTAAGTGAAAAAACTAGTCTATTGTTTCAAACTGATTGATATTTTATTGTTGTTATTCTGCAGGAGTAGCTCTATTAGTTGGTTTGATATTTTTTTACATGAAATACAAATCACTCGAGAAGCACTACAGAAAGATGAGTGAAAAAGACCATGAGGAAGATGAAATGAAAGTTGTTTACAATGAGGAAATGCAAGCAGGTAATAGTTGCAAAACATTGTGTACTTTTTCTTAAGATAGAAAGACAGAAATTTGTATCTTTTACCTGTTCTTCGTGTGGGAGGCAGATGGGGGTAGAGCTGTCAGTGTGTTACGCTCTAGATCAAGCAGATCACTGCTTATGGCCCCTGGAATTCCGTTGTGTTCTTCTGGGGCAAGGTACTTTCTTACACAGTTCTGAAGTATTTTTTATGATTTTTGAAATGGTTGAAAATATGATGAGACACTGTCTTGTGTGTTTGAAACATCTCAATCGAAACTAAAACTAAGGAGAAAACAGAGAAATAACATGGTAAATCAAATTTACATAGTTCTTTGGTGTTCTTATACCTTTAGTTTATTAGTAAACTATATTTTTGGAGTGGACTTAGAGTTGAAGTTTACTATTATGCTGGCAAAGGTAAACAACTAGTTTTGCTGAAGAATCCTGTAACTGATCTTGACCAATAAATGTGACAAGCACGTTACAAGCTGCCTCTACTACCGTTGATGATGATGATGACGATGACGATGACGAGGACGAGGACGACGACAAGGACCACGATGATACCAGCAGTTATACTAATAATAATTATACTAACTTGACTGATTTTGTTATAGATTCTCCTGATGTTATTTTTGGTGATCACATGAAAAGAGGAAGGAGTAAGGTTTACAGAGACTCTGAGAAAGTTCCTCTAGGTGACAATGATGAACTGGCAATGATATAAGACTCTGGTTCTTTAATTCCTCATCTCAGTGCACCAGTAACACTACTTTAACATATGAAAAGGTGCATCTTGGAGGTTTCTATTGTGTTGTTCCAGAAAATATCCATACACCTCCCATAGAAGGTTTTTCATTTTGAACCCCCTCACCCCTCTGGAATTCCAGTTTAGCTTCCTTTAAACATTTTTGCTGTTGATTCAACCTCTCTCCCTCCCCCCCTCCCCCCCTTAGAATTTCTGTTAACCTTCCTTGGGGTGGGTGTGAATATTT